CGTCCCGGCTCCCTGACATTCTTTGTCTGTCTCCGGTGCAGCCCCAGGCTGAGGAAGCCCCAGAACTCCGTGACCAGCCCGGGCAGATTCCCCGCCTTGCCAGGTTCTCCCTCCCCAGACCCCTCCCTGCTCCTTTCATCCCAGGGCTTCTGAGGGTCAGAGTTCCCAAGCCCACTCTGCCCCCAGCCAGCTGCAAAAAGCTAATTGTAGGGACACAGGGAAGAAAAACAAACAGCCCCCTCTTCAGCTGGGCTCTGGTGTCTGAAATGCAATCAGCAATAGTTTTACCCCTCAGGGTTTGGGCCTTGATTTTCAGGGCATTTGAGCAGAGGAGGGCACTTTCAAGAGCCTGGGGCAGAAGGAATCAAGACGTTAACAGCCAGGCACAGGAACACAAACAAGAGTTTGTTTCCATGTGTGTCACACAGTAACGGTTTATCTGACTCTGTGTCAGGAGCTCGTGCCCTGTCTTTTACACCCAGAGATACAGAGCTGGTGCGACCCAGAATGAGGGGTGGGGGCTCTACCACAAGATAGATCAAGGTAGACTTCGTGGAGGAGGGACACTGGGGCTGGGGCTGCAAAGGATGAGTAGGAGTTTTGTAAGTGGGGAAAAGAAAGGGGATTCCAGGTGGTGGGAATGGCACATGCAAAGATCTGGAGGCAGAAAGAGGAAAGACGATGGCTCGTTTTGGAATATGTAGGGCACCCCAGAGAGTGTGGCACAGAGAGACTGTTCTGGAAGGTCGGCAGAGGAAGAACCCTTGAGGGTAGCCAAGGATAGACCTCAGAGGAGGAACACAGAGTGGAGAGGAGCTGGTCCTTTCAGCATCCAGTGTCATAGGGCTTCCCTGCAGGGGCTTCTCTTCAGGGTCCTCCGGGTGGGACAAAGGGTCTGGACCTCAGGACCAAGGAGGGGTTGAGGGGCAGATGGGAGGGGTCCCTTTTTTTGGGTACCGGGTATTGAACTCAGGACCTTGCACTTGCAAGGCAGGTGTGGCACCACTGAGCTACATCCCCTGCCTTGTTTGCATTTTAGAGACAGAGTCTTTCTCTTTAGCCCAGGCTGGCCTCAAGCTCATGGTGATCCTCCTGCCTCAGCCTCTCCAGTGCGGGGATAACAGATGTGCACCACCATGCCCAGCAAGATGGGGGTTTATCTGGCTAGTGAGCCCTTCTGAGCTCCATGCCGGCCCAGCAGGAGCCCAGCCTTGGCTCCCCATTTCACAGCTGGCAAGACCGAGGCAGGGCTTTCTATGAGATCCTGCACTCAGTGACTCTGGCCAGGGTGAAGCCAAATGCAAAACAGCTGCTGCCCATGCACAAGGTGGGTGGGGTAAGCAGTGAGGGGTGGACCGGGGACCCTTCGCTTGCAGGATGTCCATGCTGGGGCTGCCCCGAGTATGGAGTGAGTAGAAACAGGGCCCCTGGCAGGACTGTCCAGGATCGGGGACCAGACACCTCACCCAGTCCAAGTGAAATCAAGCTACAGAGCCAGATGTGGTGGCCCATGCCTGTCATCCAAGCACTCAGGAGGCTGAGGCAGAAGGATTGCTGGGAGTTTGAGGCTAGACTGGGCTACATAGTGAAACCCTGCCTTAAAAAAAAAGAAAAAAGAAAAAAAAAATCAGGCTCAGGTGAGTCCTGGAAGTAATTAGACAGCAGGGCCCACCTTGCAGCATGTGGCTTGGCTCTCCTCTGGGAAGCAGCACGCAGGTCTAAATGGCACCTGTGTTGCAAGGACCAGAGGCCTGATGTAAGTCTGAGGAGGTGACAGGTGACTGAGCTGCACTCAGGCGGGACTGCTCTTGTCTTCCTCAGCATTATGATCCTAGCCCCACCTGTGCTGCCTGCCTCAGTTTCCTTTCCGTCAGCCGCCCAGCCACTTGAGGCAGCATCTTCCCGGCCGCTCCCCTAGGGCCTGCATCTGCTGAGCCACGCTCCGGGCACCACGCCAGCTGCTCAGCCATGCCAGACCTCATTAGCCTGATCCTGTCACCCGCCCCCAACACCCCTGCCGGCCGCAGGTGCCTGTGGGGCCCGCCAGGCCCGCCCTGTGTGGCCAAGGTGGGAATTTTACAGGCCAACTGCTGGGGCTGAGAACCAGGGCCGCCCACACCGCTTGCTCACAGACTGGACTGCCTGCCCTGTCAGCTTCGCTCCTCTTTTCTTTTTTCAGTACTGGAGACTGAACCCAGGGCCTTCTCACTGAGCTCTATCCCCAGACCTTTTTATTTTTTATTGTGAGACAGAGTCTCGCTAAGTTGCTAAGTTGCCCGAGGTGTGCTCCGACTTGTGATCCTCCTGCCTCAGCCTCCCAGGGTGCCAGGATGACAGGTGTGCCTCGGCCAGCTTGCCTCTGACTGCTTCTTCACATTGTTTCTGGGCTCTGGTTGCTGTGGCCACCTGGGTGACACCCGACAGGCAAGGTCCTGCCTCCCAGCCTTGGGCCTGCGTCCCCTCTGCCTGCAATACCCTCCCAGATGGTCACACGGCCATTCAGGAGCTGCCCACTCCGGGAAGCCCTCCCAGGCCAGTGGGAGTTGCCGCTTTTTTTTTTTGGTCTGAGTCATCTGTCAGAGCAGACCCGCCATGCTTTTCTACCGTCTGGTCTTTTCCTTGTTGGAGGTCCTGTGTTCGATCCCCAGTACCCCCGCAAAAAAAAGATTTACTTTAATGTTAGTGTAGTTACAGGGACTGCTTATTACGCAGTTAAAATGTGGCGCAGTGCCCCAATCCCGGCTTAGTCACTTGAGCGGTGTGACCCTCAGCAAGTCACCTCACTTCTGTAGGTCTCCGTTTTCCCATCTACCAAACGGGACAAAATAGCGTTCACTTTGGCAGCACATGTACCAAATGGAACAAAATTAATTCCTACCTTGTTTTCTTCCAGTACTGGGGACTGAACCCCAGGCCCTCACATGATGTACATCCTCAGCTCTTGTTAATTTATTTTAATTTTGAGACAAGGGATTCGATGGGGATTTAATCCTCCGAGTGGCAGGAAGCCAGCAACGCCTCCAGCAGGTGAGCAGCACTGCATCTCTACGCACTGAGAAGACGACAGGCTGCGACCAGGCGCCCCTTGCTGGCCGGGATGGGAGGGGACCGCTGGGGGGTCTCTGTCTCCCCCCAACACCAGAAGCCACCCTGTAGCCTGGCCCCTGGCCCCCACAGACACTGTGGAAACATCTGTGCTGGCCAGATGTTCCTGGTTTGCCCCCAGATGTATGTCGCCAGCTTCCAGCTGCCCCAGCCTCCCGCCGTCCCCTGGTGAGGTGGGGCCCCCGGGGGGGACGACACATTTTTGTGGGCTGTGGAATTTGTTGCTTTGCAGAGCTATCGTCTCATCTTGAGAGAGGCCCAGACCCCTGGCCAAGTCCCGCCACCCGTGGGGCCTCAGTCTCCCCACCCGTGCACCCCCAGGGACCCCCACAGGCGGTCCGGAAGTGGAGATGCAGGGCGCGTCCCCGGAGTGGCTCCAGCTGCCGGCCGTGAGGCTGTGAGCACTGGCAGGGAAACGGTCACAGGCGCACACGTGTGGGGGCCCGCACCTTGGCCAGCAGGAGTTCCCTGAACTCAGTGGCTGTCCGGGTAGGAGAGAGGCCCCGTGCAGACCACCGCACAGATGGAGAAGCTGAGGACCAGGCAGCCTGGTACCGCCCAGACCTGGGCAGAACTGGGGTCAGCGTGGCAGGCTGGAGCCCCGCGCGTGCCTACTCCCAGGTGCGTGGCCTTGCTGCTCACACAGGCGCACACCTGGCTTCACGTCCACCCCCCTCTGCCTGTTGGCGGTTGTGACTGTCCCCACAGCCGCCCGGTCAGGTCCTTCCTGGCATTCCATTTGGCTGCAGATAGGGAAACTGAGTCACCAAGGGATCATGAGTGAGGGGTGACACGAACGCAGACCCCACACCGGCCGTGCCTGGGCAACTGGGAGGGACCTGTGGTTAGAGGAGCAGGACAGGCTGTCTGGAGGGGTTTTGTCAGGCAGGGATAAGCCAGATTCCCGGCTCCCCCAAAGCAGCAGAGATGGCTGCAGGGTCCCCTCGCCTTCGTCCTCTCCCGGGAAGGAGCCACGACTGAAGGCGCCTGGCCCCAGCCCCGGTGCACCTGGAAGGGGGACCATGGGGCCTCCGAGCATCGCTCAGGGGCTGGAGAACGCACGATTCCGTATCACACCCTGGCCCTCCGTGCCCTTCCTCGGGTCCGGTGTAAGGATGTGCGCAGCCGTGTGACCCTTTGCTCAGCCTCAGTTTCTCCTCCCTCCCCGTCGGTCCCGGCAGAAGGCTGCTGACCTCATTCGGATGGCTGTGGCTGGAGGAAAGAGATGCTGGGGTCCTGAACGGCGGGAAGCCTGGGGACCTTGTCCCCAGAAGGGAGGGGACCGCTGCCCAGGCCCAGACTCTGCAGCATGGGTGGGCCTGACTCCTGCGGGGCATAGAAACCCCCCTCCCCACACCTTCTGCCACACCTGCACCACCCCCTCCCCGCTCTGGTCTGTGCCACAGACAAACCAGTCAGGCGACCCTGCACAGAAGGCCATTGTTAAGGCCGCTTATCAGCCGCCCCACAGGAGCGCTGGTGGGGGTCTGGACCCCAAGGCCATCGGCCTGTGACCCTGCGTCCTGGGGCTGGTTTCACCCCCCCTTCCCCTTTTAAACCCTTGGTGGAAACACGATCAGAACTCAGTCTCTTCCAGCCGAATATGGAAACTGAGGCAAGCCAGTCCCAGTCTCAGGTGTGAGGGCGGCAGGTGCTGGGTGGGCCGGTGTGGTCTGGGTGAGCTTCCCTACCCGTCTCCCCCTCCTGGTGGCCAGGCTGCCACCAGCATTCAAATCCAAGCTCTGTGACCTTGGGCAAGTAGCATTACCTCTCTGAGCCACAATTTTCTTTCCTTTTCTTTATTTCTCTTTGAGACAAGGTCTTGCTCTGTAGTTCAGGCTGGCCTTGCATTTGTGGAGATCCTTCTGCCTCAGCCTCTCTGGAATGCTGGAATTATAGACATGTGCCACCATGCCCAGCTCTTTTCAGCCTATAAAATAAGAAGCCTATTACTGCCTCTTGGTACTTCTGTGAGTGAAAATGCTTTCACACGGGGTAAGTTTGTAGAGTGGGGCTGGGTATGCAGCAGGTGCTTATTAAAGGTGTAAGCTCTGGGTTTGGACATCTGTGAGTGCCAGGGTCCCCTCCCAACCTTCTCCCCCATGCCCCTCACTACCTCTGCTCCAGCCTCATGCTGCTCCTACACTGCACCCAGGCTCTGTCCTGGCCAGTGTGCTTGTTTATACATTGTCCATCTTGGGCCCGTGATGTCCTCCAGCCGGCACATCAGAGGTGCTCAGTAAACGTTAGATAGATGGATGCATGGGTTTACTGGGAGCATGAGACACCTGCCAGTGGACACGTGCAGGGTTGGTATACAGTCGGTGCATAATAAACGGGGTGGGCTTCTTGAAATGGGGCTGGATACTAGATTGGTGCTACACACTAAGACCTTAAACCCTGGCATTTTTATTTTTTATTTTTTGCAGTACTGGGGATTGAATCCAGAGCCTTTAGATTGAGCTACGTCCCAAGCCCTTTTATTTTTTTATTTTAAATCGAGCGTTGCTAAATTTCCCAGGCTGGGATTGAACTTGGGATCCCCCTGCCTCAGCCTCCCAGAATAGAACTTGGTGTCTGAGCCACCCAAGGTCAAGCTTGTCTCTTTCCTTCTTTCACTTTTTCCCTTCTGCAAATATCCGTGAAGTGCTCATTTTGTGCTAGAGTCCATTGAGCCTCTCTTCCCATTTGAGTCTCGTCAGATCTGCAGATCGGTCCAGGATTTGCTTACTCCCGCGTTGGGGAGCTCATCCTTTAACACCAGCAACAGTGACAAAACCAGAAAAGTAGCCATACCAGGCTGGGGGGACAGCACTGGCCGAGCATGCGGGAGGGCCTGGGTCCACCCCCCAAAGCAATCCCAGCTACCAGTAATAGAGGCAAGCCCGCACCTTACCTGTGTCTCAGTTTCCCCAGCTGTGGAGTGACGACACAAGCAGCTTTCTGATGGCTCGGTAATTAATTAAGTGGTGCCGCCGCCGCGAGCTAATTCTGCAGCGGGGAGGGAGGCTGAGCGGAGGGGGCGCTTGAATTTCTGGCCCGGCGGGTGCTGATCACAGGCAAACAGCGCGCTAACCAATGCGAATGCGGCCTGCGCGGCCGGCGGTGCACGCGTGGGGGCGCTGGCGACCCCTGGCAG